ACAGTAATGAAATCAAAAGGGAATATTTATGCCTTACTCTCACCATACAGCAGCAAAGTAAAAAAAAAAAATCCCTCTCGCTTTGTTCCCTCTGAAACTCTATATTAAAAAATAAAAGGAGCACTCAGATTAAATTTTTATTTCTTCCTAGAAAAACATCCCATGTATATGAAGCATAAAGAACTATAATCTACAATATCTACAATTACTGGGCTTATTTTAATGTGTCTAGCAGTGAACAGGGAAAATGTAAAAAAAAAAAAAAAAGATAACTAAGCCAATAAGAAAGAAAAAAAAGACAGGAAACTAGGTAATAAAAAGACAGAAATTATTCTGAAATATGTTGAACATCACATCAGTTATTTAGTGAGATGCTATCCAAAACACAGGTATAAGAAATTATCTCAGGGAGAGAGTGTCTTGCAATATGAGAAAGTTGTTCAAAATAGGGGAGATAGAGACTGTTTCGTAAAGATGACCATGTATGGAAGTTCTCCTCATTTTAGGGTTCAGTTTTAGGTGCTAAAGGCATAGTTTGGCTGTTTGTGCACATCGTTTTTAATGTGTCTTAGGTTTTTTGAAAGAGAAATAAAGTGAAATTATGTATACACTTCAGACATATTTGTACATAGCCCCAAATTATAAAGTGATGTGGAAAAGATCATGTTTTGTTTTCAAATAGTAGAGATCATGATAAACATTAACCAGACATAAGTTTTGTCTACCGTTATTTGTCAATATCAGAGAAAAAACACAGTTAATATGGAATCCATTTTCTACATTTTGTTTTTAAACCTGATTAATCATGGTTAAGTGAATGCTTGTAGTTAAGTGGTTCTAAGACTGAATTATTTTTAAAGGAACTGTCCATTTGGTTGGTAGTAGTTCTACATATAAATAAAATGGTCATAAATGAATAGTAATGATTAACATAATCAGTAGGGCTCACTTTTCCTTGGAAAAACCACTCCAAGATGCATTGGGCACCCATCAGCTGGAGAGAATAGGTTGAAATAAGATTCCTTTTAACTCCACGAATTCATGAACAATCTCACTCATTGAGTCACATAATGGTAATTAGAAAAAAATCATAATAAAAATCATTCTAGCAAAATGTCAGTATAATATTTTTAGAGTTTTTTATTCAATATAAATTAGTCAGAAATAGTCTTTTTCATGTCACCCAATAAGTTGTAGAAGAGCATTAATATAATTCTTGTTTTTTCATCAGATATACATGATAGTTTATCAGAGGGAAGAACAGAAGGAGAGAGGAGGAGAGAGAGAGGGAAGAGGGGAGAGAGAGAGCAGGAGGGGATGGAAGAAGGATCTATGCATATTAAGGAAAAATAGCGCTTTCTAGGAGAGATGTCATTCCTAGGATAAAAGATGCTTTGGGCAGACTAAGGAGTATGTTAGAGTCATTCTGTTTAATAAAGGACAAAGATAGCTAGAGTTGCAAAAGCACGGTCAACTGGAGTTCCAGCTAAAGTGAAATTTCAGCAATTTCAGGCAGAGTAGTTGAGAATATTCTGCGAAAGGTGATCAAACACAAGCCCTCCTGTACGCAAGTAAGTTTTTCATCACAGATTGACACTGATATGGTATATGGACGGTGGCTTATAGAAGAAAAAAAGTAAAAGAAAAGAATTTGAAAACGAAGAAGACATTTAAAAGTAGGAGTAGAAGATTAAATCATGTTATGTGAAAACGCCACGGCCAGGCTGTTTCCCTCTCTACGCAAAGGCCAGGAGGAGCCCACGGACAGTACCTTTCTCTTGGCTTTGAGCTGCTCGTGATACTTGTCACAGGTGTCTCCCGGGATTTCTCCTCCCCAGAGAGTGACTCCAACAATGGTGTATGTGATGCCCATGATGAGCAACGGGAAGCAGTACACCAGTACGATGACCACGACATGGTACCTGGGAGAACGAGAAGAACACTCGCTGAAGCACCTGCCGGACGGATAGACGTGGGGCTTTGAATGTCAGCTTTAAACCATGATGAAAACAGCCGAAGACTATTCACACGTTATCTCTAGGCCCTTAATTCGCAAATCCATCTGTGTATCCTGCTGTTGTCACCCAGAGTCATGTTTCAGATGCTGCCAGTTGGTCCTTGCTAATCTTTACTTTGTGTGTGAACACAACGGCTCAGCTGCGGTGGGCATTTAAACCACGCGTGTTCTCCTGGCCTAGAGGGAGAGGCAGAGCAAACCGATGAAGGGCACGTATCGTCTCCTGTGTAGGACTCTTCTACACGTCCCTGCGATGTCAGATGTATTTGAAATAAATTGTTCTTCATCCGAATGGGAAAAAACGCAGTAGATGCTCTGAGCCATATTGGATCCACAAGTTACTTGAATGTGATTTTATAGAATCAAGTAAAGACATTCACATGCATCTCTGCAAAGTCCCCGTGTATTACGTGGCATCATTAACTGAGTAAAAAATGTGTGGAACTATTAATCACAGCAGAGGCATGTTACTTTAAATTATCAAATTAAATTCTAGGGTTTCGTAGCTTTCAATCAAAATTATAAGACTGCAATTAGAAAGGGACAGGAGGGTAACTCATAATGTAATAGCCCAAATAGAATTTTACAAACTGGTGTGTGGATGCCGCTGTTTCAGGAAGGCTTTAAAATGTTAGTTTCTTATACTGGTCTTCCCAACAGTGGTGTTTTTTTGTAAAGTGAATCTTAAACCTCTTTTCCTCCCTGTTTCCTGGTAGCTTACTAAGTATGGATGTAAAGTCGATGGGAAGTAGTTTGGTCAACAAATAATTTGAGGATGACAACTATCATACAACTAAGATTTACTACTAATAATGGATAGAATACAGTACTCAATTTAATAACGACTGCTTAATTTTTCTAAAATAAGTGTTTCCTTACATTTTTCCTAAAAAATATGGACTCTGGGTAGTTAGACAAAAATGACTGCTTTAAAATATGACCATTATTTGCACCATTTTATATTTT